CATACACAGCACAGAAAGGCAGCTAGGAAAAGGGGAGAGGCCGTGTAGTCACTCAGCTGTCAAGAAGGATGTGCAGTGTGCTCAGGCAGTAGTAGGCACCCAAGAATCCATGCAGGAAAGCATTGGTTAAAATATCTGTACTGTAGGAAAAATTTCAAGCCAAGCTTTCTGTCAGTGAGGAGGCACAAGGCCAAAGGAGCCAGGAGTCACGTGTGCTAGTGTTCACTTATTTCCCAGGTGTTTTCCAAATCACTCTGCCCTAAAAGGCTGCAGTGATCTGTATGCTCAAGCTCTGCCTAAGCACCCTTTTAAGCAGGTAGAGTTCACTAGAATACAGCTCTAGAGAAGGAACCTTCCATTCTGAAAAGCAGGTTCAGAGAATGATCTGTGCAGCCAAGGCACAGAAAAAATCTAGGCGTTAGAGCTGTATCTTTAATATCCATATCCAGAATCACTAAACAATCCCTTCTTCCAAGTAATCTCCACTGCTGTGTGCTATTACCAAAAAAAAAAAAAAAATCATTTTGACCACTTCTAAGAAAAGAGCCCTTAAGTGCTGAAGTAGCAACGCTTAGGACAAAAGCAAAGCGCTGTCTACAGACCATACAGCCAACCACTAAATTTGCTCTTAAAACCATGTCTTGTTATCATATCAGGAGTAAAAATCAGTAATTTAGACATCTTTCTTACTGTTACCAGAAAATGTATAGGCCCCACCAATTCACAGATTCAACTGAAGGCTGCTTGAATAATCTGTGTCATAGTGTCCTGTCTGCGCTGCTACAGAGGAAATACATGTATATTTATTTCCCTAGTACAATCATTCAGCACTGGAGCAGCTAAGCAAAGACTCTATATCACAGTTCTACTTCTGCTAGCATGAAACAAATAATGATGTATGGTGGTAAGGCTCTTTTAAACAGGTTAACGTCTGTGTAATTGTTCTTTTACCAAGATTAATAATCATAACAAACTCTGCAGGTCAGGCACTACCACAAGATGAGTGGCTCTGACAATAAGCAGTGACCATTGCATTTAGTCAGGTTGCTTAATTGAAGCTAATTTCAGTAAGTGACCTTAACAAATAGCAATTTCCCTTTAATACGACAGAAGGGATGATTTTTCATTTAAGGCACAAACCTCCTTTCCATTTCCTTCCCGTCATGACACAACTTTGAAATGCAAACTCCAAAACGTCCTTTCATCCAAAGATTCAAAGGGTTTTGCGTAGCGAAAACTAACCTAGGAAGTTTTTTATTCGTTCACATAAAGGATTTTAAAGTCAGCTGTTGAGTATGGATTCTATACTTTGGAAATCAGAATACTAAGGCCATCCCATCTTCATACTAGTGGAACCACAGCAGATTTCAAAGATTCTGCAAGTTGCAGAATCTTCAGGGAAAAATGCAGCAGGCAAAGTTCCTTTGTACCGGCCTCCTGGCATGAAGCACTTCATACCTTCCTTTGGTATCTTCATCTCTGCAGTCGCGTTCTTTCACATACAATCTTTTGCTCCCTCCAAGCCCTTCAGCTGCAATAGGGAAAATAGGACTTGGACTGAATCCTGTATTTTACCTACCTAGTTTCTGATCAAACAGCAGCCCTCCTCACCTACATTTAATTTGAGATAAACAGAATCCAAAGTAACAATCTATAACCCATAATTCTGTCCAATTTTGTAAAGGGGCCATCAGACATGCAACACATGAAATTAATTCGGAGGAAAACACCTGAACTTTGGGGGAAGATACTGGAAGATGGACCAACACACTAAAAAAAAAAAAAAAAAAGATTAGAACACATTCCCCTTTCTACAGCAGGGTCAGTTTTCATAAGATGAGCTCTCCAGTGGAGTGAAGGGAATGGACCAAGACTAAGAGTCAACACTGATTTCCTTAAGATATCTCACTAGTCTATGCCATGACTGGAATTAAGTAGCTCAAAAGGGCTGCTTAGTGCTAAAGAAAGCATGTTCATTTTCCTAAGTGAGCCCTTATAGGTGACACAAAACACTTAGAGATCTACCAGCCAAGACCATTTGTCTTGTTTCTACAAAGCCCCTGGCATGACTATACAGTTTAAAACAGTGACAAGAGCAATTTGACAACTTAACAAGCATATTAGCAAAAACACTGGCTGTGATTCACTTTTATTTGCATGGCTGGGACAACAGAAAGTAATATAGTAAAGAGTCTGTTTTCACTCTGTACACTCACTTGAAATCAGTACTCTCATTAGGATAATAATTTTGCAAGTCTGTTCTCAAAGTATCACCGGTTCTAACCCCAAAACCATCTTTTATTAATGTAGAAAAGGTTTAAACCAATTTAAATTAGACTTCTGCACAACACCAAGATGTAAACAAAAGAGAAAGGATAGCTTGGAAGAGGACCCGTCAACAGTTGAAATAATAACTAAGACAGCAGGGAAAATATGAAACCAAAATTGAGTCAATGACAGCAGCAGCTAAATGCCTAAACGCAACTGAACAAAGCACTTCCTTCATTTGCCTGCTGAGAAATACTCTGCCCAGTTCCAAATTGGCTCTGTATTGCACTCTAAGGATGTTTCTTCCACTCTCTGCTCATTAGTGCTTTCTCTGTGGCACTAACGCGGTTTCTGAAGTTAAATTAATCAAACATCCTTCTGAATTTAACCATGGAAACCACAGCAAGTAAAAGAATTCAGCACTGCTTCTCAACCAATGTGGTCATATCAGAATGTCAAGTGTCTTGTTAAGCAGTTAACTTCTCGACTCCATCTCCATCTTTAAATTCTGTCATTTTTTGTATTTCTGCCAGCTTGTTAGAAAACCTAATGGAGAACATGGAAAACATGGTATTAACTAGTGCTCACATACAATTAGCTTAAGTGAGGCTACCAGACTTCCAGAAAAAACAATGGCATGGATGAAATCTTAGAAAATACATTTTGCTAGAAAACCTCAGTCATGACCTCAAAGTCCTATATTAAGTCATATACTTGCACAGAGTCACAAATTTGAATATTGTGTCCATTGACAAGTTGAACATAATGGTTCTTATTTATACTGACGGCAAACAACTACACACTGCCCTAGAAAACACGGTCTTTGAGATTCTCCTCATGCACCGCCTACTTTTCAGAGATAAGCTCTTAGGCAACCTCTGCAACATTAATTACTGGCATTCAGGCATGATGGTAGCCAAAGAACCACACTCCCCACCTAAAGTAAACTACTGGAGTTCAAAGAAAGTCAAATCGAACTTTGTCAATTTTGTCAACTGACACAGGGTCCTGAATTTACAGTTTTCAAAACAAAAATTATTTTTTCATAAAGTTATACCAACAAACTCCACCAGGAAGTTCTCTTTCCAGTATAATTTAGACCAGCTACAAAAAAAAAAAAAAAGGAACTATACCAGTAGAATACTTTCTTGCTTTTAATAACTGCACCACACGTGGGTATCTCTAAGATGGAGACCACAGTAAAGGTTGCAATTATATTTTTTTATAAGCCCTTACTGGTTTAGCTATATCTGCAGAAATTTATAAAGATTAGATTATTCATAAAGCATATTTTATAAGTGGGTCTCTTCCTGATCTCAACTTTCTAATAAAGATTATACTTAACAAAATCAACACAACAAAAATAAAAGCATGTCACTTAATTATGACCAAGGTCTACAGTTGTAGAAATTTTGAAGTTTTCTCTTTGCATATATTTTGATATTATATCAGAATGAAATTCAACTGCCAAGACAAATGTAGATATGCTCATATGATGTATGAAACGTGTATGAAAGATTAATTTGTAACAGCTTCTTTCAGCACTTAAAATGTCAAGAATATCAGTTTTCATTTCCTCTTCAGCACTTGTTTGAAAAACCTTGGGATGTGTTATGTCAGGATATTAAACCTTACTAACAACATAAAAGGATAAGAGGAACGAAAAACAAATGAAAGAAGGATTTTTTAAATTAACCTAAACAACATAATGTGCAATTTTGCTCATAAAGTTAAATTCCTAATATAAAACAAAACCATAATACAACAAATACAGCAAAGTCCTTTTCCCAGATCCCACTGAAATACATAGAAAGCTCCTAACTCAGATTAATGCGAAATGGATCAAATGCCAAGGGAGGTGAGATGAATGGGGTGCAGCCACAGGGCCTGTATATGCTGATAAAAAGATGAAGAGAGAGAATCATACATGGATGTCAACATTATCACTCTTTATACTGCTATACTAAAATGGATTGACCTGACTGTTCTGTGTAGCTGGATATATTTTTCATCTCCTGATAGACCAAAGAAACATGACTAAGTTAAAAGTAATCATGTGTCACGGCCTGCTTGAATAATTCAGATTTTCTACTGTTTTTAAAGACCAAGTGCTAGAAACGATACTCACGTAGTTCATAGTTAAAAAACATTGGCTATCTAAGAGGCAGGTTTGAGAAATTTGTGCATTTCTTGTAAAACTTGTCACAGAGCAGACACAGTTCACCTTAATGACCCAATAAATTGTTATGAACGGCCCTTTTGCATTACTTGATATTGGGTCAGAACAAGCAGAACAGAGGAGAGAAGGAAAAAAAAAAAAGGCAAAACATCTGACTCAGAGGTGCTGAACATACACAAGTCCTATTTCGTTAGCATCCCTGAAAGTCAGTTCAAAATTCTTGCTGAAAATAGGCACTTTTAGAAAAGTTTTTTTTTTTTTAACTTTTATTAAAATAGTCTATATAATTCTCATATCCCAGATGAACAACACAGAAGTTCATTACAAGGGATCAGTTTTAAAAGCAACCTCATGAGAGCCATTGCTAAGCTAAAATTAAACTGCATTATATTAAATGCATTTATAAGTTGCTCATCACCACAAGACCTGAGAATCATTTTGTCTTCTACGTACTGTAAGACAAAATTGTTCCTTGTGGACTTTCAGTCTGTCTTCTCTCATTGATAGGTAGGGGAATAGTTTGAGGACTAAAGTCAGTAATTCCGTGTCTTAAGAAAAGCTCCTTATCCCTTTTGGTACTTTAGAGAAGGTATCAGTAAGTATCCAACAAGAGAAATCTAATCACTGAAAGCATCCTATCATCTATACCTTTTACAGTGTACAATATATAAAAATAGTATGTTTCAAATTACAGGACTGTTTAAGAGACATTAAAGTGCAGGCAGTCACATTAACTATATATATTGATTGAAAACCATAAACACTGCTTTTTCAGTTTGCCTGGCAAATGAGAATGGCTGCAGTAACCTCCCTCTTGATCTGTGTTCTCTTCTGCCTCGTTCTCTTTTATATCACTTATTGAACCTCATGGAATACAGAAAGGCTTTCCTGACTCTGCTCACTAATTTCTTTGCTTGCCAACTGCTCAGGTGCCCACTAATTTTCCCAATAACACCTTACCCGCCTCACAGCAAAAACCCTTGAGTGAATTCAAAATTCCTTTCTATCTGCCTCAAAAAGAATGCTTCTCTGCTGTTTTATAGTGCAGGAACAGGGTTTTGCCTCAAGAGAGTTGCGTTATGTGCCCTGGGAGAGCAAGAGTCACAAGGAGATACCATACTCCCCTCTTCAAGTTTAACCTTGGCTATGTCTATGTAGTTATGACATGCAGGAGCTACCAACACATACTCTGAGTCAACTTTCCTCCTTGTCTTTAAAAATAAGACATGAACGTTCTGAGCGTGCACAAAAAGGACGACAGACAGTACTCTTCTAAAAATAGCCACATGGGGTGTCTTAAAAAGAAATAAAAATCTTTCTCCGTGTTTCATATCTGCTCTCAGTTGCATTGTTTGTCAACAAGACAGAAACATAACTGCAAGTACTACAAAGTCAAGCAGATAAACAAAAATCAAGGTAGGTTGCATTTGCTGCCTATTTTATATGACCATCTATGACAGTTTTGAATTAAAACCTCAGCTGCTACGGTATTAGCCTTGTTTTTGCATTTAGCAGAATAAGATTACAGCATGTCTTCCCAAAATATACTGCATACAACAACCTATGTCAACCTTTTCAGGTATTTTTTAGGCTAAGCAGTAGGATAAACACCGCAAGATTATTTTTTCCAGTTCCTATTCTGAGTCTATTCATACTTTAAGAAGGTATCGTAGAAAACGCTCCCATCACAGAATACCATTAATAACAGGTAAATCTAACACAAGCTGTCATCACTCTGCAATTAAATTATCATAGCAGATTAGAATTTCAGTGAACTCTACAGAACTATTTAGGAGCACAAATGATTTTGGGAGGGAAATCATGTCTTACAGTCCCTCATATAGCACTCTCTGAAGAAAGTTACAGCACCTATCCCAATGCAGTTTGGCCCTGAGAAATGGTGAACACTCCACTCCAACAGATATACTGTTGTCAAGTGCCAGTGCTCCACAGATCTCAGGATCACGTCCTTAAAAAGGACAAGTACAAGGGTATTTGCTCAATTTCTTGTAAAAATCTTTTACCTCGCACTACAGAAGATTCACTTGCTCTTAAAAAAATGTATCTGATAAAATTTTAAAACATGAAATAGATTAACAAACAAATGTTTGGGAATCAAGAAATTGGATTATAATATCGAATAAGACGACATCATCTTCCACAGAAATACTTCTGTATATCTAATTGCTGAAAAAGTCAATGGCATGAATTGATTTTTCGGTCATGCAGACACACTGCAACATAACGTACCTTATAAAAACATCGCTCATTCAACAGAGGAATTTAAGTGTCTGCAGAACAAGAGTCCGGATAAAATAATTTAGGTGAGAGGAACAAAACTGTATTTTCTGCAGCGCACGATAGTGCACAGGAAATTAGGCAATTACACATTCAGAAAGGGATGTCTCAGAACAAAATTGTTCAATGCACAGATCTCTCTTTCCTCCCATTTCTAATACCTGACTTTTGAGAACCTGCATCTCAAGCTCGGTTGATTAAAGCAAGGAAAAACAAAAAAAAACCTTTCCATTTTGGCATTCTTCCCCATGTTTCATTATCACAGTCCCCATCAGTTAGACTGACAGTGATTTAGCAGTGGCTTCCTTCATCTTAGCCACTGCAACTTGATCGATCTTTTCACCTTCTCACTTCACAGTAAACGTGCCTGTGCTTTTTCCTTACATTGGACTAGGCATGGCATCTATATCAAATGCTGCTGTAGTCAGATCCACGGGCAACAAAGGCTGCTGCTTCCCACTCCACTGTGAAGAAGGTAATCGTTCCAAAGAACCCCACAACCACCATGATCAGGAGTTGCCACTGCAGAAGGAAGTAGTTGCTGTAGAAATATGCAACTGCAGCACAGATGGACTGAGAGGAGAGGAAAACCAAAAAACAAACACACACACACACAAAACAAAAGATTAGCCGTGGAAATATACAGTCTTGCATTACTATACAAGGATTATCAAATTGACATACAGTTTAGCACATAATCCATAGATCTCTTGATAGCGTGTTTCTTCAGTAGATGTACAGTTTTAAAACTTTATTATATTCTAGCATGTGTTTTGACATCACACACAACAGATTTAGTTTTTACTTGTTATTTAAATAATGTTCGTTGCAGAAAATGAACGCCCACGCTCAGAAGCATTCATTGCATCACAAATGCAACTCTTTGGTATTTAAAAACAGTCTGGAAACAACACAGCCAAAGCATAAGTGGAATTTAAGATAAAACCCAGATAACCTTTTTTCAGTTTTACCACATCACAAACAGTTCTGTATCGTAATAGTTAGACGCTTTGACAAGCATTGTTGCTTACTTGCAGTCCATCCTTCTTTAGGATAAAACGTTCGTTAGACCTCACAAAGCATAAAGAACCTTTTAATCCAATGTCTCTCTCATAAGTTATTACACTCACCCAGAAAGATCTAAAATGGAGCACTGCATGAAAATCACTGAAAATAAAGCATTTTTTGAAGGAAGCAGCTGGGATCTATCAAACTAGACAAACCCTGAACTCTGCTCTCAGCACTAGCTTACTATGATGTGACCACGCACGAACAATTTCAACGCTTTGTACCACAATTTTTCTACTGATTCCTCTGACTGACTCAGGTCTTGACCTGAAAAGTTTGGTACCAAACAAGGCTAACGCCTGTAAGTGAAATGATCTATCCAGAACACAGCAGTTGCATTCATATAATATGAAGGACTTTTCAGCCAGTCTCCAACTAGCAAAAACAATTTATTTGGGGATTACGGCGACTTAAAAAAAGATAAATAACATAAATTCTTATGTCTACATACTGGTAACTCCCAGTGACATGGTACAACATCCACAAACTCTCCAACCACTATTTAAACAACTCATTTCCTTTTAACTTACTTCTCTATCACCAAAGACTACCTTCAGTAAATAAATCTGGTAAAAATATATTACCAAAAAAGTATACTTATCCATACTTGCCTTTTGACTTCAAACCAGAACAACCAACATCTCTAACCTCCCTCAAAACTCAAAAAAAAAGAGTGGTAGTTCAATAACGTACCACTTACACGAAGCTAAAGAATTTAGCTACTGCTACCTGAAAACTTCTTTTCCTGCTGTGAACAATAACAATTAAAAAACACGTTCCTATCCTGTGCAGAAACAGTACAACTAACCTTCCTGAGCTCATTAAAAAAAAAGTATTTCAATAATAGACCAATAAAAATGCATTCAAAAGGCTGCGTGATATAATACCTGAACAAACTTAAAGATGGCAAAGGCAGGAGCACTGTCTTCCGAGTAAAGGAATCCCAAAATACTGAGGAGTTGCGTGTTAAAGCAGCTGTCTCCCAGGCCCAACAGAAAGCTGCAGAAAATGGCCACCTCTTTGCTGAAGAAGAAAGAGGAATCAAATCTAAAAGCCTTTCTGTTATACAGCCTACCTAGCTATTGATTAAAGTAACGCCCTGCCCCCCTAAACTATTGCTGTCAAGACTTGTTTGGAAACAGAATAGAACAAAGTTATCAAACTTTAAATTTCAACAGAAAAGAACCGTGAACATTTGGCTGGCAGAAAGAATCGTTTCATTGGATTTTAAATCCTGGAACATTAAGACTTCTGCTACTGGTACCCGCAGTCAACTCTGCGCTGAATTAGAGCTGCTAAAAGAACTCATTTTGGTGCTTGGAGCCATGAAGCCCACAAGGCAGTGATCCAAAGCTGACAGACATGCACAGTGAGCTCATAAAAACTGAAGGAGTATGACAGACAGAGCCATTCCTACTGCAGGAGCTGTACATACTGCAAACGCTACAGTTTGAAAAATAGTCATCTGCACAGTCACAAACACTTAAAATGGCAAATTAGCAGTTGTGTCTGAACAGACTGACAACACTATGTTTACACACAAACTGGCAAAAATATACCCCAACAGAAGGTTGCAAGGATGAGATAAGAAAGCTCCCTAAATTTCTTCCCTAACAGGAGAAGATCTCCTGGCTCCAGGTAGATCAAGTGGGCCTTGACAATGAGCATTCAAATGCTTTGGGAACCAGTACAACAGTGTAAGGCTGGTGCTCTATGCTGTAGTAAAACTGAGCTCAATGCTGTCTCAGAAGAAACTCAATTCCTGACATCTAGTACAATGGTTGTTTCTCACACCTGTTACGGTTATGTTCTCAAACAACAGAAGTGCTACCACATATCATCATACTTTCTATTCCCATGCCATTTAAATTCCTAAGTTGGGTTTGAAATGGTAGACAGCTAATAAAAACTGAGAATTCCTGAAAGCCTCTTCTATAGGGTTAGTCACCACACAGACAAATCTTTTGAAGTTACTTTTTCATTAGAAGATCAAGCTGCTTATATATATATCTTCAATTACAACAGTCAAAGGAAAAAGTTTACATACCTTGGAATCATATAAGCACTATTATCTGTTCCTTCCATAGGAGCAATAGGGGCATCACTTGGCATGTTGAAAAAAATTAAATAAAAGGCTATGAAATGCACAATGATGCCTAGCATCACAACAGGGTTCCTGCCAAAGCGATTATTCTTGCTCACTAAACCAAAGATTCCTCCACCTGTAGGAATGGAAGAGATTGGAGAATCATTGTTAGTTAAGAAAACAGAGTTTAATTACTTCCCTTTAAATCAGAAATGGAATAGATGAAGAAATCTTAAAATATTGCAACAAATGCTGAAAATGGATTTTGAACTTCTCCATATTAGATACTGAAAGAGATTGACAGAGCTGAAATCAGCCTCAAGGCATTTGCCACATCTGTCAGCCCTGTTTGCCAAATGACAGAACCTCTGGGTTGTATGTACTTTGCTCACAGCCACTGCTTTCTCCAGTGTTGCAATAGTATCAAGTGACAGGGGATTACCTTCTGCTTAGCTTTCTCATGGTGTCTACAGATTGCTAGCATTTAACACTATAGTGCTTTAGTTTTAGCAAAAAAATACAGTGTATTTGCTTAATTAACCTTATCTGTATTCAATTGCATTTAAGTATCAAATTCTCATTTCACATAAGCTTACTCTCTTTTTCCTCCAAGAAATTTAGCAGCGTCATTACTATTGCTCTTTTCTTAAAGAAAAAAAAATTAAGTAGTATTCATCTAAGAAAAACTACAAATGTAAACAGACTCCTATTTAAAAACAAAATACTGAAACGTTGAAAATTCCCTAATAACATTATGGCCTCGAGTTTCTAAATCTTGTACAGTGCTTTGCACTAAGCCAAAAAGAACACAGAATCTTAAGATTCACAGTCAACAGTACTTCACATCCTAGTCTGCATGCACTGTTTCAGTACAAACAAGATACAATGCACAATTCACAGTGCAATAACAAACAATGTCGACAATTTTTTTATATTTGACTTTTTTCATGTAATCATTGCTGGAAGCTTGAAAGACACTATTCAGTTAAATAGAAACAACATTTTGAATAACTGCAACATCTTAACCTTTTTTTTCCCCCCCACTCGAAAAGTCAGTAAATTTAGACTCACCTAAAATCTCTCCAACACCAATAAAAATACCAGAGAGACCAATAAGGCTCTTCTCTTCATTACCAAACCTATTCACAGCACCAATGCATGTTCCATATACTCCAGAAAAGAAAGTTAATTCCAAACCTTTGAAGGAAGCCAAAGAAAAATGACAAATGAACTATGAGATATTCCTTAAGAAACAGTTCTCAAAAAAAATTATGTCTAAATGCTGTTTTATCTCTACGGTATCTTGAAAATACATATTTTACTGAGATATATGTCATAGGAACAAACAGAGGATGATTTCAGCTATCTAATTATGAGAGTCTCCTATGTCAGTTTGTGCAAACAATATTAGGGAAACACTACATGCCACACTTAGAGTCATATATGCACTTAAGTTCAGTACTGGCTCTGCTGATGCAATTTGGATGCTTTCCCAAAATTCTTAAAAAGCGGTACGTGATATAACACTGTACAATAATTAAGGAAGGGAATTTAAACTCAATTTCAGTGTAAAAAAAAAAAAAGTTGTCCAAATTATAGCATTTCTGAGGAAGACCCAGAATCACCAATTCACATCCCCAAATCACAATGCGTAGCAAGATTCCTAATATGGAAAAGTAGTAGTGCATGTTAAGTTCTAGTTCATTATGTACGTAAGAATAACTTATTCAAAATTCTTCTTTCCTTCTATTGCCATTACCGTGAGGAAAAAGAGCATAGCTGAATCCGGCTATGGTGACTACAATGATTTTCAGTGTATAAATATCACTTCCTTAACACAAAGTATATTTTAAAGCAATGCAAAGTGTTATGCTTAAACAAATAAAAAAACAGTTTAGAAATTAAACTTGCTATATTTCACCTCTTCTGTTCTTTTCTACTGCAAACAATACAGTGCACCAGCTAATCATCTAGCAGTAGCAGCTATCCAACGTGGTACGTGAACTGCAGAGCCTCAAGAAAGGCTGAATTTTGAACAGCTTTAATAATCAGAATAAAGTTTGGAAGCAAAAACTTCTGTCGACCTTATGAAAATTTGTATTTTCCAACACAAAGTGGCAATCACGACCATTAGCCACCAGATGGCAGCAGTTAATTTTTCCAAGCAGGACTGATTTTTTCAGCTACCTGGAAGATCAAGTTTTGGATTAATCAAGCCAAACTTGACAGACTTCCTTACCTTGCTATCTTGCTTTTTCATTCCCATTGCACTAAATGTCTACGAGTAATTCAGATCAGTCAATTTGGGTTAAAATCAACACTGGAGATACTGTTAAGTAATTTGTGATTCAGATTAGAAGCTGGTGCTGACTTTCTAGCTGCTACAGCTGCCTCTCTACAAGACACTAACTGCACCCTTTGGCAGACACTGCAGCACTATTAATAGTTTATTCACATTTTCAAGTTTTTCTTTTCATGTATAAGAGGTTTTTTTTTTTTTTTAAGTAATGGTAAATCAAAGCTGAGGTCCTGAAGATGCATCTATTCTCAATTAAGCTTAATTTGATCATAAACAGAGCTACATCTGGAGCCAAAAAAAGAGAAAGACACCAAAAAAATCCATTAAAGAATCCCAGTAACATATTTTTGCATCTGACAGTCTTTTTGCAGAAGAACCACTTTAGTTTATGGAAAAAATACATTTATTTTTGTTCTGCGACTCTTACCTTGGTGTAACAATGCCAGAGCAGGTTTAACTAAAGCTGCTAAGAAGAGAGCTCCTATCACTGCAAATACTAATCACAAAAAATGGTAGAAAACGTCTAACGTTTTTCCCAATAGAAGCAACACTAAAATGAGGACTCTCTTAGTAATCTCCTACTCCTCATTACAAGCCTAATGGAGGTGACACTGAAAGCCTCATTTACAGAAATAGATTTAATTCAAATGCAATGCAGTTACATTAACTATCACCCACAACTTATATCAATAAGCTTAGCTTTCTCATGGTGTCTACAGATTGCTAGCATTTAACACTATAGTGCTTTAGTTTTAGCAAAAAAATACAGTGTATTTGCTTAATTAACCTTATCTGTATTCAATTGCATTTAAGTATCAAATTCTCATTTCACATAAGCTTACTCTCTTTTTCCTCCAAGAAATTTAGCAGCGTCATTACTATTGCTCTTTTCTTAAAGAAAAAAAAATTAAGTAGTATTCATCTAAGAAAAACTACAAATGTAAACAGACTCCTATTTAAAAACAAAATACTGAAACGTTGAAAATTCCCTAATAACATTATGGCCTCGAGTTTCTAAATCTTGTACAGTGCTTTGCACTAAGCCAAAAAGAACACAGAATCTTAAGATTCACAGTCAACAGTACTTCACATCCTAGTCTGCATGCACTGTTTCAGTACAAACAAGATACAATGCACAATTCACAGTGCAATAACAAACAATGTCGACAATTTTTTTATATTTGACTTTTTTCATGTAATCATTGCTGGAAGCTTGAAAGACACTATTCAGTTAAATAGAAACAACATTTTGAATAACTGCAACATCTTAACCTTTTTTTTCCCCCCCACTCGAAAAGTCAGTAAATTTAGACTCACCTAAAATCTCTCCAACACCAATAAAAATACCAGAGAGACCAATAAGGCTCTTCTCTTCATTACCAAACCTATTCACAGCACCAATGCATGTTCCATATACTCCAGAAAAGAAAGTTAATTCCAAACCTTTGAAGGAAGCCAAAGAAAAATGACAAATGAACTATGAGATATTACTTAAGAAACAGTTCTCAAAAAAAATTATGTCTAAATGCTGTTTTATCTCTACGGTATCTTGAAAATACATATTTTACTGAGATATATGTCATAGGAACAAACAGAGGATGATTTCAGCTATCTAATTATGAGAGTCTCCTATGTCAGTTTGTGCAAACAATATTAGGGAAACACTACATGCCACACTTAGAGTCATATATGCACTTAAGTTCAGTACTGGCTCTGCTGATGCAATTTGGATGCTTTCCCAAAATTCTTAAAAAGCGGTACGTGATATAACACTGTACAATAATTAAGGAAGGGAATTTAAACTCAATTTCAGTGTAAAAAAAAAAAAAGTTGTCCAAATTATAGCATTTCTGAGGAAGACCCAGAATCACCAATTCACATCCCCAAATCACAATGCGTAGCAAGATTCCTAATATGGAAAAGTAGTAGTGCATGTTAAGTTCTAGTTCATTATGTACGTAAGAATAACTTATTCAAAATTCTTCTTTCCTTCTATTGCCATTACCGTGAGGAAAAAGAGCATAGCTGAATCCGGCTATGGTGACTACAATGATTTTCAGTGTATAAATATCACTTCCTTAACACAAAGTATATTTTAAAGCAATGCAAAGTGTTATGCTTAAACAAATAAAAAAACAGTTTAGAAATTAAACTTGCTATATTTCACCTCTTCTGTTCTTTTCTACTGCAAACAATACAGTGCACCAGCTAATCATCTAGCAGTAGCAGCTATCCAACGTGGTACGTGAACTGCAGAGCCTCAAGAAAGGCTGAATTTTGAACAGCTTTAATAATCAGAATAAAGTTTGGAAGCAAAAACTTCTGTTGACCTTATGAAAATTTGTATTTTCCAACACAAAGTGGCAATCACGACCATTAGCCACCAGATGGCAGCAGTTAATTTTTCCAAGCAGGACTGATTTTTTCAGCTACCTGGAAGATCAAGTTTTGGATTAATCAAGCCAAACTTGACAGACTTCCTTACCTTGCTATCTTGCTTTTTCATTCCCATTGCACTAAATGTCTACGAGTAATTCAGATCAGTCAATTTGGGTTAAAATCAACACTGGAGATACTGTTAAGTAATTTGTGATTCAGATTAGAAGCTGGTGCTGACTTTCTAGCTGCTACAGCTGCCTCTCTACAAGACACTAACTGCACCCTTTGGCAGACACTGCAGCACTATTAATAGTTTATTCACATTTTCAAGTTTTTCTTTTCATGTATAAGAGGTTTTTTTTTTTTTTTAAGTAATGGTAAATCAAAGCTGAGGTCCTGAAGATGCATCTATTCTCAATTAAGCTTAATTTGATCATAAACAGAGCTACATCTGGAGCCAAAAAAAGAGAAAGACACCAAAAAAATCCATTAAAGAATCCCAGTAACATATTTTTGCATCTGACAGTCTTTTTGCAGAAGAACCACTTTAGTTTATGGAAAAAATACATTTATTTTTGTTCTGCGACTCTTACCTTGGTGTAACAATGCCAGAGCAGGTTTAACTAAAGCTGCTAAGAAGAGAGCTCCTATCACTGCAAATACTAATCACAAAAAATGGTAGAAAACGTCTAACGTTTTTCCCAATAGAAGCAACACTAAAATGAGGACTCTCTTAGTAATCTCCTACTCCTCATTACAAGCCTAATGGAGGTGACACTGAAAGCCTCATTTACAGAAATAGATTTAATTCAAATGCAATGCAGTTACATTAACTATCACCCACAACTTATATCAATAAGTTTACTGCCAAATCACATTAAAACAGCTATGTAAAGTTTGCTTAACCCTCAATTTGGGTGACCCAGAACTTTACTGAACAATTTTTATTATATGTCAGTTCTAGAAGAGTTGGAGGAACCTCTCCTCCCATACAGGAATAATTTCCAGAACACAAAAATGTCATAAATCAGTAACCCATTCAAAGACAATTCAAATATTCAAGTAATATTTACAGAAATACAGAAAAACAATCCTGGTCTGGTGTTCTTGGTTAAAATCCCAAACAATGCCCTCATGCTTCTACATGATTATACATTTTGCTTGCTTGATACCTGTATAGGCTGTTGTAACACTGAGAAGTAGAATCTCTTTAGTAAAACTCAGCTTAATAGATTTCTCTGAAAAGAAATAACAACGGAAATTAATGTAACTTCCCCTAACATTATTAAGAGAATCTAAACTTTCTTTTGATCGCTGCTTAAAGTAAAAATAGGTTAAAATCATGAAAATTATGATTTTATTACAGTAAAAATATGGCCCTAAACAGACAGAAGGCGCCTGACTTGCGGTTTAAAAGAAATGAGGTGAAATGAAACCCCTTGTTGTAAGAAACGGAAGGCCAATAGCTGAAGATAGTTAAATGGTTTTCAGTCAGACAATTTTTTACTCACTGCATTTTTGCACTCTCCCAGTTCACAGTGATCATATCTTTAAAGAACAAATAAATTGTCAGCAAAACACCTTCACGTTCTCAAAACCATCCAACAGTCACAGGCAGACAATATCAAACTTCAGGGGGGGTTGCGGACACTTAGAGCTCAAAATTGTTGTTCTTAAGTGACATCATTTGCTGACAAAATAAAACACCGATCAAGCTTTGTTCGTATGATATGGTCATCTGAATGGAGCTCTTTCGAAGTGTAGCCAGCCACTTCGCACCAACTGCCCAGCAATAGTAACTTGCCCACACATTAGTTCAGTGGTTCCCAGGCTTTTCTAGTTGCAAGTCCCATTTCTGCTAGGCTCAAAATCACAAATGCTCATACAGACATCTGAATTTTTATCAGGCTCATAACTCATTGGTCCTGTGTCCCTACACAAACTGTAACCTCCGGCCTGAAAACCACTGCCGTTTGGCAGTCATTTCCCCAAACAGGCTAGCCCAGCAAGGTCTACATTTGAAGTAGAATAACTGAAATGCATTCTTAAACCTGTAACTGTCTGCACATTTTTGTTCTAAGTGATTTTTACATGATTGCGTATCAGCAGAATCACGGAAAACGGGAAAGGATATTTCAATTTTTTTTTTTTGAAGCAACTCTTATTTGAAATGGTACTTACTAAAGGCAGCCACTGCTCTCATCATTTTGCTTTGGGAAGACCTGGGTAAATGAACGACTTTAGTCAAAATGGAAAAAAGAAAGAAAAAAAAAAAAAAACAGCACACACTGTATCCCTGTGGCAGAAAGCAGATTAATTCATTTTTCAAATTTTCTATACATTTTCTAGCCCAGCATTACACATTGAAAGATGCTTACATATTACTAAAAGTTTCTGAGAATCTAAGCTACTAACCACAAAATTTATTTGCTTCCTGGGCCAGTGCATGCTATTCAAAAATTAACCTTAACAGTCTTTCCCTTAAGTAGCATTAAACATTTTTTTCCACTATCGTTACTTGCTCAGGTTTCTCTAATATTTTCACTATTCTATTAATAAAACAAAATATATAAAATAATGCCTCAGGCAAGACTGTACCAGATCTATGTCTATACTGTACCAGATCTATGTCTATATATGCATTTCTAAATTACTCATCATGGTGGTAAAATCATCATCGGCAAAAAGACTGAGAAAAGATGTGACAAACATGTTTCAGTATGTAAAAGGTAAGCTATACAAAGGAAGGGAACAATCTGTGCTCATTCCAACCCTTAAACTGGACTAGCAAGGGCAGGAAAGACTATGAAAGGCCAATACACGTTTAATCCTCAGTGAAGAAAAGAGGTAAATGATCTTTCCAAGTCATTTCTTAACGGAAAAACTTAAGGTGCGGTACTAAGCTCCCTCCTTGAGAATGTCATAAGAACACCACCACTAATTGATGAATTCTTACTTGTTACGGTACAGACACTTCTATTAAATCTATAATTCTACAGGTTGTTCATAACTTTCATGTTTTCGGTTCAGAGAGGAAAGTGAATGCGATTTTCCATAGAGTAGGAGCACATAAACCTGTGTATGTGGCAATACGTTATTACTATAAGCACTTACAAGCTGTCCCCCTGGATTTCATTAGCAGAATCTTCCTCCCCTGGAGTTTTTGTGTCCTCTTGTCTCCTAATCAGAAAGAACAGAACCGTGCCCACAAGACTGATAACAGTCAGAGCAATGAAGACAGTTCTACGATCACTCTCTGGGGAAAAACAAAGTAGAGTCATAACTAGATGTGCAAAAACAATTCTGGTCAAGTCAACTACCTTCAAAGAACTAATATAGGTATACTTTGTAATAGCGTTTAAAATACATACTAAAAGCTGTTGCGTTTTCTATCTTGCCTCATACGTGGAGGAAAAGGTACTCAGTAGCTGGCAAATTCTTGTCTCCACTTTATGATGCCAGTAAAATACTGGCATATTAAACAGCGAAGAGTGTCACTCACATTTTCTGTCATGCAAAGGCTATGACTAATAAGGAGCCAATTAACACAGAAAACACTCATCAGTAGAACGCACACCTTTCAAGACTTGCTATGTCTACTATCCAAAAACCCCTTTAGATTTCTAAAAAAGCTCTTCGTTACCAACACTACAAATATTAGCACTATATAACACCATAAACTGTAAGACCTGGAAACTACAAAGCCCTTTAAAACCACTGAACTCTCAGTAACTGACACAGAATATAACGAGTATCCGAAGGACATTAATTGCTGCCCTATGCACCAGCTCTGCTGCACTAACCAACTTGTTTGGCACAGGAAAGTCTGCCATACAGCAGTCATTCCAATTTACAAATATTAGGCAGAAAAAAATGCTATGAAGTAACTAACAATTGGGATTGAAAAACAGACTGACTGACATTTGGACCAGTGTTCAAGCCTAAAGATTTTGCCTATGCACTTGCATCTATTGCCCCTCTAACTTAAAAGCAAACACAAAATTGTTCCGAGTCAATTAAAAATAATCTGTGTATGGTTACACACCAAAAAGAGAGCATGGGCTTGTTCTTGACATGCCTGTTATGTTTCCATATACATAGGAAAAGGAATGAGGGATCGATTTTTCAATCCTGTTAAATCATGCGATACCAACATCTAGCTTTTACTTAAAGAGGACACTCGAGACATTTCAAGTGTTTTCCACGTAAAGAGGGAGACAAAGGTAGCAGTGGAACTCCCTGACTTTTAAGTGCTGTATTCTGTCATTAGCAAGAGCAATGTGATTTAGAATGCAAAGAATTTGGGGCTCACCAGATTCAAAGCACCTCCAGCATTTTCAATAGTGTGTAAGCCTTTGTGTGAAGGGAGAGGGAACGCGGAGTTAACCTTTAAAAATTAACCTGTGATGTGCTACCAAGCCTGCGCCTGTGGAGAAGCTGAAACGACGACTCTAACAGAGATATGAAGTGGACTATTTATCTCAACAAGGCAGTACTTCTGCAGCCTGATAATTATCGTTTAAAAGAAGTTAACATTTTATTCCTTATTGACTACAGAAATATCTTCATCTTTTGAATGTTAGAAAAGTTGAGCATTTTAGTAGATAACGTATTTTTTAGACTGCAATAAAAGACACCCTCACCACCATTATAAAAGAGTTGATTATAAAATCAACTCTATTTACTCATAAAATGTTGTTTTTCCTGCAATACTCATTTTCGTACAATTAAATTCTTAATTTTTGCTCGAGTTTCACCATTGCTGGCCATTTTCTTAGCTGATACCCCCCCACTCGCCTTGCTTACTTACAGTAACAGCTGCCAGCAACCTTCATGTTAAGACCTATGAATTTCAACCACCAACCAGCTTCTTAAGAATACGAATATGTACATGCTGCTCTAATTCCTGCTCCTCAGCAGTCTAGTGCAATGTCAAACATAGAAAATTATAGTATTATAATCCCATTAGGAAGTTAGTGTTGATAAACTATGCCAAGAAAGAAAGACTGAAACTACAGTTCCTTACACACTTTTGCAGCAATTCTGCCAGTTTAAAGCAGCAGCAGCTCACTCTTAGTCCAGCTGGGCATCTCAATCTCTGTCCTGCCATGGCTTTGTCATAGGACAATGACTGGTGCAACCTTGAAATGAACTGGGATGGTTTTCCGTTCTTGTCCTTTATTTCGTAGATTAATCAATTCCCAATCTGATTTAGAGGGCTGGTCTACACAGAGAACTTACTCTGGAAGGGGATACAGTGTGTATCCCCTTTGTGGATGTTAAAACATATAGCTACTCCAGAATATCCTCTCCCATGAAAATGCTTATTTTGGAATAAGCGTGTCTACACAGGGAAAATTCCAGAGTAGCCATTGTGGAACATGTTATTCTAAACTAGCATTATACAAAATTTCCCATGTAGGCAGTATCCTAAAAGAAGGTACTCAAAGCACATTGCATCCAGGAAACAAAGGCACCCCACAGCCCTTGGATTATATATGTTGGAACACTGACTCAAAAGCATACCTTAAAAACAGGGACTATCTAACAATGAGCTGGAAAAAATAATCATCTGCTATCGTACAAGTTTCTTGCCATTTCCCACTTCATTATTTCATCTATTTGCTCATGTTAACGTACTTCGAAGGATAGCCTTACATAAGCAAGTAAACTCACCTGATATGTGAGTTTTTCCTTGCCAAGCAAAGTATATGTAGAGGTTTCCAAAAAACAGGCTGAAAACAAAGAGGACAACACAGATGAACAGCACTTTTTATGGTAAGATTAAAGTTGCAGCATCACGGTAAGACTACTCTATGCAAAAACAGTATTGTGCAACTGTGAAAGAAATACAAACATTAGTCACATTCTCCGTGCAAACTGCTTACTCAACACACTTACTTTAAATACAGTAGAGGATTCTTCCTCATGATGCTAGCTACTCATTTTTCAGGGATCGAGACACCAGAAGGGGGCAAAAATTGGGAAGTCGGCTTCTAAATTGCCTCTGCCACTAGTTTTGGAACTGAATAGTTCAGAGAGCTGACTTGTATCTACCGAGATCATTTTGTAATGATTCCTTAAGAGTGTCATTTGTCTTGCCTGCAGTATTGTCCCAGCAATGCTAAACTGCTTGCTAATGGCTTAAGGGAAATTCTGTGTTCCCCACAGAGAGTTCCCCAAAATATGTTAGTTGTGAATTAGTGGTGACTCGGAACAGCCTTAGAATTAGTTTCCTTTTGTAAAGAAATGCATTTTACTCATTCCAAAGCATACGATTAGCTGAGTTGGTGGAAACTACTACTCTGATAATGTAATGATATGCTAATTCCTGCATCTGAAACTTAAGGAAAAGGAGAACTGCCCCCCTGGTTCAGATCAACGGTCCATCAACTCAGTATTTTGTCTCAGAAAATGGCATTAAGGCACACCATTTAAGTCAAGCGCATGAGTATAGCTACTTTCTGCCATTCATCCCCCTCACTCTCTCCCAATATCCAGAATTTCTGTATCATGGGTTGGAAAAGATATAAGCCTGCCTAATCCTTTTAGGAATCATTAATCAATCATTAATTAATTTGCTTAATTAATCAATCATTAATTTGCTTAATTCCTTTTTGAACTTGCTGACATTTTCCAACTCCACAACCTCCTATGACACCAATTTCCAGAAGCTGACTACCCATGCCTAGAGGTACTTTATTTTATCTAATCAAACCAATCTTCTACTGGCTTAACCAAGCGCCCTGAGTTCTGGTATGGCATTGCATTTGGCACTACATTCAGCCCATCTGCTGCTTTCAAGATTTGGTAACCCATGAGTATAACCTTCCTCAGTCTTTTCTTCAAGCTGAAGAGTCTCAGACTTTTTAGTCTCTCCTCAAGGCAGCGGCTCCATCTTCTTGTGCACTTCTTCTAGTCACTTTTCCCTAACTCCATTATGTTCTTCTTGAGATGCAGAAACCTCATCTGCACACGTTACCCAAGAGCACACTAAGGTTTCACATACAACATACCATCCTCTGTGTTATACTCGGAGCCATCCTTGATGCCCAACGCTTTGTTGGCTTTTTCAGCTATTTGCACATTAAGCCAATGATTGCAGAGAACTGTCAACAGCGACTCCAAGATCTCTTTCCTGATTTCTGACTGACTGACTGCTCCAAGTTCAATTACTTCAGTTCAAATTATTAGAGAGCAGCAAGGGCCAGTTACTCCTTAAGGGATGCGGAGCAGAGTAGGGACAAGCAGGGCAGACCCAAAGGTCGTAGCCAGGTTCAACCAAGAGTCCAGATCATCAGGCAAGGCTGTGGCAATGAAGCAGGTCCAAGGTCAAGCCAGGAAATCAGCTCATGGGTCAGAACCGTTCGTTGTTCTGCATCTACACAGTCAACAAACGGATAAGCACAGGCATGGCTGAAGCTTGGCTAGAGATCAGTACTCCTCCAGCCTAGCTCTAGAAGAGCTGAAGACCCAAGGCTGAGCTTAAATGGAGCTCCTGGGCCCCAGAAGGTGTGGTGGAGGTCCCAGGTGAGGTTGGTCAGGGCCATTAAGGCTTATCAGTGCACTCAGGGCCCTGACACATATTACCACCACCCTCCACGATCAACAAGATTTTCGCCAGATGTGAAGGGTATCAAATGCTCCCATAACAGAGATGTACCTTCTAGCATACCAAGAGCAGAGGCCTACAATATAATTTTTATTCATTGTTCTATACTGCACAATAGAAATGTTGTTCCCAGCTCATTGTTCTATATTGCACAATAGAAATGTGGCTTCCAGTTCTCCCTTCCGCTTCATTGTCTGCAGTGCTGATATTTTTTCATAAGTCTCCCACTTATGAAAAAGTATAAAAAGTAAAAGGTGCACATGACCAAAGAAAGAGATTTAACAAATAAAGCTTACCTAGACTGTAAGAGTGCCCAAAATATTCCACTGTTCCTTCCAATGGTGTTTTCATCCGAATTTACAGTCAAGCAATTTCCCTGTGCCGTCCATAGTACTGAAACAAACAAAATATATTGGTCAAGAAAGAAAAACATTTTACAAGTATATACAAATGCAGTGAAGAACAACAAGCAAGTTAAGAACAATGCTTACCAGCAGCTGCAACGCCAATAAAAACAGAAGCAGTGTAGAAAGCCCATGTAGAAGGCTGGATAAAAACTGCAATGTATAAGCTACAAAAGAACAGAACAGTTCATTGAATATAGATTTAAAATAGACAATGTTCTTTAACAATTAGATATCTTACTTAGCTTCCTGTAAATCAACTCCTCCCTCCCAACTGAACTTTGAAAATAGTTCAAGTCATATGTCAAAACAGGTAATCTTTTTACTCCACTAAACATGTATCACTTGTTTTTAATATAGGCATTAACCTAAGACTACAACCTGAACTCCGTAGTCAGCCAAGCCTAAAAATGCTGTAGGGGAAAGAAAAAAAAGCTCCATTTCCAGTAGGCTGGAGTATCCTGAAATTACAGTTATATCTAATGATACAGATATCTGAATATTTGTGCAAGAAGATGCCTTATTTAGCCCCATACAAGCTCACGTAGGGCACGGTAGCCTTACGTGTGAAAAAGTAAAGGAGACTTCAAAGCAGGCAGGCAACAATTCAAAAGTAGTACTTACCTATAAAATACGCCACTAATGACCATGGAGAGTTGAGGTCCTATTATTGCAACTATTGAAGGTGAAATAAGATTTGATGCAGAGAATACTCCATAAATAACGGACATGCTACATAAATAAACAACAAAGATGATTAAGTACTTAAAATAAAATGTAGGGTTCAAGGGCAGCTGATTTAAGAAGACTGTTCAAATCATTCCAAAGTATCAAGTTAAGTGCATACATAACTTAAGTAACTGCACAACTTCCATATTCAAACATTTTCTTCCTTTCTGTTATTAATTACCTTCATCTGTTGCACTTTATCTTAATATAGCAATATAGGGGTGTACAGTATTTCTTGGATCACTGAATCCAGTCCCAAACTATTGCAGGCAATCACATCTTGTAATTTATGACAGGAATTTGTCAAACCATGACTTAACAAGAGCTACTGTATTTTGTGCCCAGTATTTCTAAGGGAGAATATTCCAGACCCTCATTCATCTTTTAGTAAGGTTTTAATTTTCCTGCCAAATATACCACAGAGATTTTATAGACATACTCTTGTGCCAGCTGTATTTTTAGTTTAAATTAAAACAGTAAACCCGTTAAAGCAGCAACCAAGTTTTCCTACGTGACGGGTCAATTTGGTGTACAAAAAGTCCCTGATCATGCTTGAAGTGGAAAGTGAATACTCCAGAAGTGAGTCGGCCTTTTCACAGCTTTGAACCTTGCTTCTCTTCTTGTCTTTCTGACTGCTCCTTTCGCCTTTGTGTTGCGATCTCTCCTGCAAGTTGATCCGCACAACCTATTCTACACAACGGCACAGAGGTGCACAAAGGAGAACAATCAAGGCCTTAGTTAGCAGTTGCACTTAAGAAAAAAAAAAAAAAAAAACTTCCACGTTCTTCATCTCCTAAGACAAAAACCTGAGCATGTGATGCCTATATAGTGGTTTTTCTGCCTGCCAAGAAAATATGCAGAATAGGTTTGCAGTTCAATTAGACACTAATAATTCATAGTAAAACTAGACTGTTTAAATATGAAAAGAACATGTTTAAAACCGTTTTAAATGTTATTAAATTGTGAAATCAGCAGAACATTACAATCTCTTGAGAGTATAACTCTACTAGATGTAATTACAACTAGCTTCACCCTGCAAGAAGCAAAGTAATGAGATCTGTGTAAATTACCTTGTATAGCCACTGCCATGAAAATCTGTGTTGTTTAAATTTGTGATAACCGTTTGCTGTGAGGAGAAAACCATATGTATTAACATGCTAGAAAGTATCTTCTAGTTTTCAAATATTTGCATTAGATGAAGCCAAAACTAAAAGTCAGAATTGGTCATTAGTAGATTCTAAAAAGTACTCAAAATAATTAAAATGTTAATTACAACTCACAACGCTTCTGCTATGAAAAACAGCGTTACTGGGCTACCCGTTTACTAGTATGAGAAATTTTCCAGGAGACAGACTCCAGTACTATACTCTGGCCATAACAGCAAAGACACGCTATCCTCACAAAAACAGAGTTACGGTTTCTCTCTCGCGTGCCACGGAAAAAGAACACTTTGCTCTAGAGCCACCTTACCTCTTTCAAACATCTAACGTAGATGCCTAATTTTGGCGCAGTGTCACCCTATGCTCCCTCTCTACTCAATTAAGAAAGAGGGACTTCTAGATACAAGTAAGATAAATCATCCTAGGGAGATGCCTATCTCTTCGACCTATATATAGATGAAATAAAAAGCAATGGTGGTTTATCACCTATCACCGTGTGTTTTCCCTTTGTTTCACTGTACCTTGTTTATGCTTGGAGCAACCACAGATTAAACCATGGAATTAAGATCTGATTCCTTCACTTCAGGTGAGGAATAGATACTAAAGGTTTATTTATGAAAGCATGACCTAATGAGATATTTGACAGGGAAACACATATGTTCAAAGCAGTAATTAGAATGTTATGACTTTATAAGGATTTCATCAGAGATCTTAGGTATTTCAAAAAACTTTTGTTTCCCAAATCACCTTAGGTAGATACGCATGACTTTCCTCATTTAATACAGTGGAAACGGTAGAAGTTGCACAGTACTCTTAATCTGATCTATCAGCTTCTGCTAAGAGTTTCCATTCCCTTCCTCTTCCCATTAAGTTCCCTGTTCTTTTTTTTTTTTTCCTTGCATCAGCTTTAGTGATCATGAGACCACGCAGTTAGTTGGATAGGCTGACAGATCTGATTGAAAGTCATTTTAATAGATTAGCTGATACAATACTTAGCATGATTGCACGATCTCTAGGTCAAACTCAGTGAGGTGCTGAGAATTCACTGCTTAAAGGGAGGGGTGGAGAGTAAAACCAGGATCACCTCTTCCAGCCGGAATCGGAAATTAAATCGGACTAAGAGTAATATGAAATTGCACCCTAAAATACAGAAACTGAGCAACATCTACAAAGTCTGTAGAATTAGGAACAGAATGTCTACGATCACTGATCATGCTGTACTATGATTTTTACAAAAACTGTTTTAAGCAATTATTTCTATAATGCAATGAAGGACATTTATACATCTGACCCAAAAAGGATTCTTCCTGCATGCAAGAAAAGAGAAGCTGCAAGGCCTGTATGCTGAAGAAGTATTTGGAGAATATAACCCTCTCTCAGGCATATACCTAATATTGAAAGTAATGTCAACATCTAAGTTAGAGGATCTGAGCTAAGCACATTAGTAGCAGGATTATAACAATTTAATTAGTAGGAATGCAATCTGCTTTTAAGAGTAGATGTACTTTATTTCCAATTTTGCTTCAGCATGCAAAGAGATACAATACATAAGTAGAAAATTATTTATTTTGACAGAAGGTGACTTGGCAGTTCTAGCAATCGTGGAAGTCTGACTACTTGTCAGATGTTGTCCTCATACACCCTCACTGTCTAGTTTGTCAAAACACAAAATATGCCAGATTAGGCAAGACACTAGGAGAAACTAAGGGGCATGGTTAATAACTACATCTTAGTCAAATATTTTTGAAGATACTATACAGAAAAATAAGAAATACGAAAAGTCTAATTTAATTGTTAAATATTGCAAGCGTCAATGCAGATATTATTTTAAAGTACAAACATCTGATAGGAGTCATTAATTTTCTGCTTTCTAAGCAGACACAGTTACATACATAGCTATGATATCTTAAAGAAACCAAGTGCTTAAACATCCAGTTAAACACTTAACAAAAAGAAAGGAGATAAAATGTCAAGATGTCTTGCAGAATAAAAAATCCCAAGTAAAGTAGCTATTAGCATTAGAGTAGACAGAAGACAAGAAAAGAAGAGTAACTGTGATACAAATGTGGCATGTTTTGAAATTCACACCTACCGCAATATTTCCACATGTTTGGAAAGCAGTAAATATAAACATAAACGAGACTCCCAAAATAAGTATGTTGAAAAGTTTTTTTGATTCAGGAGACATTTTGTGTTTTCTTGGGAAGCTGTCAGCCTCAGTCTGGAAAAACACTTCCTCTTTAAAAGTTTCCTCTGAAGCGCTGGTAAAAACAAATAGACAAACAAAAAGAATAAAACAAAAAAGAAAGCTTCAAAAATGACAATTGCTTGCAGCTACTTGTTAACTGTTAGGACGCAATCACCAACAAATCCAAAAATGTGATGACTACCTTATATAAATGTACAGCAAAATCTGTAAGCGAAAAAAACAAAGATAAAGGTTTGGTACAAAAGGTAAAGATAAAGGTCCTCTCTACCTTCTCCCATGGAGTTTACAGAGCAGGCTGCAGTGTGTTACTTCTCCATGTCATCTCCGCAAAAGAAGCAGTTTTCCAAATACTGAACTAGTTAATCAGCTCAGGTTTTTTTGCCATTGTTCTGAACCAGGATTCTGGTCAAAAGCCATTAAATCACCTGACAAAGGAAAGAGGAGACACACAAGTCATGCCATTCATGTTCCACAGGAAATAAGGAATATTTCACAATAAAGATCAGCTGACCCAGACTAGAAAGCCCTTGTGCACTATGGGAAATGCAGTTTTATGAAAATGTACTTTTTCAACTGCAAAGGGTAGACCTCTCCTAATCCTTAAAATAAGATTTGTACTAGTTATTTAGAATAGCATTCTCTATCCACTACATAATAAAATATCTGGCAAGGTAAAAAAGGTCTTAGAAGTGTTCTGAGAAAATTGTCCAATTAGCTTAAGTGAAAAATACAAAAAGTCATTCCAAAGCAAAGATTATTCCACTCAGGAGAAATGGTTTCAGTGTCACTAACATCTCTGCTCTTCTCACCGCTTCCGTTTTTGTCATCTTATCGACTCTGGAACAGAAACCGAGCCTTTATAATCTTTCACTACTTTGTCTCAGAAACATGCCTTCTCAGCAACTACATGTTTTTATTTTTACTTTATAGTATTTTACATGAGAAAGGTCAATTAAGCCCAAAGTTTATATCTTTGTTAAAATGTCAGCAAAATTAGAACAGGTCACGTATCTCGTACTGGCTGAATGCATGCTTCTTACTGTTATTTTCTATTATATATCCCCTCGGGCCTCCAAGTCAGGACTGGCATTCAGCGAAGTCAGCTCCGCTTAACTGCAGGACAAAGAAATAGGGAAGGAAATCTAGAACTGACTGAAGACAGTGACAATTCAGCAAATTTTACCTTTGCTTATCTGCCTTAAAGGACATATCAATAATTTGCATCCCAGCTATCATTACGTATTTATTATTTCTTGTTAATTCCTGAGCTGTATTTTTAGAAGTGTCATGGATTCATGGATTTTTAAGCTGTATTTGATTTTTATTTGTGGAAGAAAATCAATATGATTCTTCAAGGGCTGCTTTAGAGATTGGAGCATGACAGACTTGCTTTTTAATTCAAGCAAAGCTCTCCTCTTTCCATATTATGAGCCTACAGTAACAGATTTTTAAGATCCTATTTTGACAGTTCCCTTAAACTGGTATCTCAACACAAGGCAAGAAGGGGAGACTGACAGGGAGGGAAGCGAGTGCTGGAGCAATTCTTTCAGTAACAGCAGCAGCTTACGATGATCTAAAGTAATTGTGAAAAGAATAAAGGATATGGGAAACTCCCTCTGTCATTTTAAGGGAATCAAGAAAAATAAGTATTTTTTTTCCATAGGGAAAGGATTTCAGTAGGCAAATGAGAAAATTTTAAATCAAATCACTCTGGGGGAAAGAAAGAGCAACGCAGCATGAACAAATAAATTAAACCAAGTCCAAATATATTAATTGATTTATTTTGTAGTTGGTGCTCCTTGTTTTGTATCAATGTCACTGCCTACTTTTATGCTTCACAGTAAGAAATATCAAACATAGAATTACAATAAGAACAAGGGTTCAAAACCTAGTATCGAATTTGCTTTCTCAGTTTTTTTCCTCGTTATCGATATTGTCCTTGTGTAAAGGAATCAGGAGAGAATCATCTCTTTTGCACTATCATGAAAGGCACGGGCACAGACATTTACCCTTGTTGTAAGACAAGGGCCAGATATCATAGTTTACGCCCGAGGTTTAGGCAATTTTATTCAGCGCCTGGAAACAGAGCAACAATTTGGGGGCCGGGGGAGTCACTTCCGCTGAATTCCCTAGCAAAACTCCGGGAATTTGCTTGTCACCCTCGCACAAGGGCTGGGCCCGTCTTCTCCCCGGTTCCAAGGTTAGCGCTTGCGCTGCCACAGCCTCAACTTTCCAAGAACACACGGCGGCACGGCAGGACTCGAGCCTGACGCTTCCCA